ATTGTTGATTTGCAAGTAGCCCCCTTATAAATATCCTTGAGGGCATATCTAGCCAAATATTGCAAAGGTCTTACCCGAAATTTTGAATAAGCTGAACAATAAATTAACTCGATGTGTATTTTCCAAATGTTTTGCACGTTGAACTTTTTTATTTCTGTCTCCCATAAATAAACTGATTATTTTTCCTTTTAATTTATCGAGGAAAATGTAAGAACTGTGTTTTAAATAATTTAAACAATATTAGAATATAAATTTTATGTCGCAAGGGTAAAAAAGGACTATAGTTCCATGTACTGGAAGGGGAAGGGCCTGGAAATGCACCCCCACTGTAGAGCTTCGGTAAGGCCTTCGGAGGTCGGCAGTTGGCCAGTTTTGTCATTTTCCTTTCCACGCTCCTGGCTAAGTGCACGTGCCAAACCGGCGACAAAATCCGTCATGTAACACTCGCCGATTCATATGTAAGTTGACTTTTTGCATGCAACTCTTTCGTCAAAAAGGCGAGACTCCACGGACGACATTCTTGTGTAAAAGTATTCACCCTGTTTTCTTTCTGATTCCTTTCAAAACCTGTTTCCGCGCCGAATAGTTTACATTCCTCGAGAATTAAGATCAAATTAGCAATGCTGTTTCCTAATGAACAAATAGACTTCCTATAATCGATTACATTTTAAATCCCAATTAAACCGTTGTCTCTGAACGTGCATGGCCTTCTTATTCTTAACTTGGTCTCGTTGCACATATTCTTGACGATTCGGGAAGCCGACTATCTCGATTTTTTTTTTCAGAAAACGCAACCTGAAGACTGTTGAAGTCATTTTATACAGTTTTTTTCCTGAAAACTCCGCCTTGGCATCGATAACCACCTTTTTTCAATAAATAGAACCGTGAAATGATGTAAAACCCTCTGAACCAATCAGAAAGTGAACATATGTCAATTATTTGATAATTAGTTTGAGCCCTAATAATTAATTACAATGTTTTCTTCGCGAATTTGCTCCCCTTTCTACGTTTAAGAACTTCAATATTATTTGATTTAAAAAATTAATTACTTTCTTTTTATCCTTTTGGAACCTAACTTTAAGAGACTTAAGAAACATACATATTGGGTTCAAGTATGCTGAAGATTTGGTAACTTTTAAATTTCTGTTCACAGCACATGTAAATTGCCGAAATTGTAAATTTAATTAACTTTGTTTTAATACGACATAGCAAGGGGTTTTGAGAATTCTTCTGAGGACTTTTGATTGGAATGTTTGGATTCTTTGGGCGTTAGATGGCTCTGTGGTATCATAGGTCGAATTTAACTATAATTGTTAAGATCGTGATAATTTAATTTTCTACTAACTTGATTTAATCATTTTAATCTAAACGACAGAATTACACTTCACCTCTTTTTAAATCAAACAAAACGACTTATCTTTAAGTGCTAAAAAAAATTAAAAAAATATATCTAAAGATATACTTTCAGATTATTAATTAAATACAATTTTTGTAAATTTGATTTCTTTAACCGTCTCAACGGAATAGGTTCAAAGAAATTATCCACTCAAACTAAGTGTTTTTGGGACATAGGCCTTTTGAGATGTAAATGTGGACAAATTAAAAAAATGATCGACAAAAACAACCAAATAAATTTGAATATTTTCGGTATGGAACGGCGTAGGAATTTTTTGAAATAGGCAGGCCGAATCTCTTCTATATGCACATTTATATTGGGGCCTTAATCACATTTGCATCCATGCCGTAACAGGATTTTACGATCCTTTCTCGAGGAGTCAATGCTTTCTTTTGACACTGTAGAAGGTCGAATGCGTCTAATTGTTTTGCCTTCGTTAGTATTCTTTTTTTTTAATATCTATTTGTATCCTGCACATGAATTATACACATTTCCAATTGTTTTTAAATGCTGTAAAATCCCGGGCAAGAGAATAACAATACTGCAAGCGGAGCATCCGTGCCACTTTAGTAGGTTATCGAGTTCAGGCGAGGACGTCCCGGGGCTCGTTTCAGGCGACGTGGAAGGTTCTTGGGATCGTGGAGAGGGCTTGAGCAGTAGGATTAAGATGGATTGAAAGATTGGAGTTAAACTCCAGGAAGCAGGAATGGATCTTCACTTTAGCGAAAGGAATTGCAATGTGGATAGTGAGGTTGTTGGTTATCGAGTTCAGGCGAGGACGTCCCTGGGCTCGTTTGAGGCGACGTGGAGGATCTTGGGATTGGAAATCTTGGAGAAGGCTTGAGCAGAAGTAGATTGAAGAGATAGAATTGCAATGTGGATAGCAAGGTTGGAGACATAGCAAGTTTTGAGAATTCTTCTGAGGACTTTTGATTAGAATGTTTGGATTCTTTGGGCATTAGATGGCTTGGTGGTATCTCACCGTTCCGCCCCGTATGTCCAAATAGGTCGAAGTAATGTTTTGTTATATAGTTAATTTATTCTTTAACGTCATGTCCGATTTCGGTTCCGTAAGTCTTCTTTATAGGTGTCAAAACGTCTGTTTAGTTCTTATCGCATGAGTTTTTGTTAGGATTCCACGTCAGCTTAAGAAGTTCACCGTAAAGATTATCAACCAAAAGATCACTTTTACCATGCCAATTTAGTAGGTGTCAGTGCAACAGCGAGATCAGGCGGATCAGTAATAATATAAAAAAGATCAAACTGCTAATAAATAGTCAACAACTTACTGCAGAGGTTGTTAAGTAAGGGTTTTAGTTATTTCTATCTCTCTCTAGTTTGGCAATGTTTGATTTTTTTAACGGTTAAAAAATTACAAAACTCAAAGGAGGAAAAACTCATAAGGTGGGGTTGAGATAGGACGTTGATGTCCGAGTGGATCGAGGTCACGATAGCTCAAGTGGTAGAGTAGCGGCGTATCTAGCCGAAGGTCGTGGGTTCGAATCCCGCTCGTGCCATTGACTTTTTTTCATCTCAACTAAAAACCTAATTAATTGTAAATTACAAAACTTTCCAAATATTCGAAGTTACAGTATGTTTGACAAGCATGGAAGTTTGGTTGTCCTTATAAATAAGGATTTTATTGGGCAATCACCAGTTGTGATTTACCACAATTTACCACCAGTAGGAGCCAGTAAACGGCGAAATGTCTTAGCCAATATATACAGCAAGAATAGGCGGACCAACCAGATCAGGCACGAAGAACTACTCTTTAACGGCAGTTGTACAAAACATACAGGGAGAACAGGCGGACCAGTATGGATTAAAATGCAAACAAATATTCTACAATACGTAGATACCAAGGCTTAGTTTCAAACCTTCTTCTGTGCTAGTACAGTGCCATTTTTTAATGAGTTAATCAATCAGTTAAATTGGTTAAAATGTGTTCGACAAAAATGGCAGTTTTACCAACCTGTGATGACTTTATTGAGTGGTGTGTATTTTGTGACTTCAGTTGTCCTTATTACGTGGATGGACGTCTTACCCAAAATGTATAACAGTGAGGACATGCGGACCAGTGTGGTTATATATTACACAGGGCGGGCGACCAGGACCCGAGGGGTTAAAAGCCTGAGTAGGCCCGTACCCCATCCCTAAAAGGTCCGGGACCTGGTCGGCTCACGAGTCCTGCATAAACCTATTGGACCTATTCACAAACCCCAGGATTGTGGACCATTTTATCCTGGGGAGTGTTTTGGTTATGTCCTCTCCTTCGAAAGTATTAAATCTTTCCCTAGCATACCTATCGCATTCTGCGAGGTAGTGTCGAGCCGTTTCTTCTTTTGTTTCGCAGAAGCGGCAGAAGGGGTCTGGTAGAGTACCCATTATGAAGAGGTGTCTTCTCAAGGGGCAATGGCCCGTTAGGATACCTATCAGCCTCCTTATTCCCCTCCTAGAGTTAGAGAGTAGCCATTTCGTTTCTTTAGGTTTGATTTCCTTCAGAAACTCCTTCGATTGCCTGCATCCTGGGGACATATTCCATTCCTTAAGGAATTGTTTCATGCCCCAGCTACCTATACTCTCTTTTGCTGTGCTTAAAGAGTGGGGTAATACCGGTTGTGGTCCGACGAACTCAGTATTTGATCCTTCCTTGGCCAGGCTGTCCGCCTCCTCATTGCCATAGTGCCCCTTATGAGCAGGTATCCATATGAGGGTTACCCTATTCTCATACCTGGCGACCAGTGTGGTTAGTGTGGATTAGGATGCAAACAATAACCAACAACTCGTAGGCCAACAAAGCTTCTTATTAAACTTCTGTGCTAGAAAAGTTCCAATTTTTTAATGAGTGAAAAAATTACAAAAATTTAAATAACCAAATTCAAAATACGTTTGTCAACATGGCAGTTTTATCCTACCTGTGACGATTTTATTGGGGTCTGTTTTGAGACTTGCCAGTTGCCATATTACGTGGATGATGAAATACCTCATCCAATCTATAACAACGAGAACAGGGAAGAACAAATTGTCCTTCAATGGCAGTTCGACAAAATCAGCATATAGCAAGAAGCAAGAACAGGTGGACCAAGATGATCAAACTCAATAAATATTTTGAGATCTTTATTCTACTATTCATTGATAAATTATGACCTTTACCTTGGAATGTCTTGGCACTGGCAGGTTTGAATTTAAATTGAAAGGCGTGCAATATATACATGATATAATTTTCCTTATGAAGGATGTTATTAAATAACCACGTTCAAAAGCAATGGATTCTTGCCAATATTTTATTATTGCGATGATGCAATTAAGGCATTAGACGATTTTTATCACAAATATCGTCTTGAATTTAAATAAATTTACATTACAAGTCAGCACGGCTAAATGAATTCGTTATGTAACGGATTTTACTAGTGATCTTTTTTTTTTTTTTTTTGAATAATTTTTGTCTAAAATTAAGATTTAAACCCTCGACACTTGTATGTAAACTGATGCGTGTCATCAATCAAAACAATCTTTCTCTGATGTTCCTTCTTCCATGACCCTAAGCTGTGCAGTCGAACTATGATTCGCAAACGGCTCTAATCGTTTACAAACAACCATTGAAAGAACGTGTTAAACCAACAAAAAAATGTTAGTTCAGTTGCACGAGAAATTCATCGGCTAATACTACTAATACTTACTTATCCGACGGTGATACTTTCAGTACCTGTGGTTTGTTTCGGAGTGGTCGTTGATTTATAGTCATTTGATGATATACGAAAGGTACGTTTTTACAAAAAGGCAATTCTTTATTGAAAACATCTTGACAGTCCATCATTAAATCAATAATCTGTTTTAAAGAAAATTTCGAATATTTGTAAGAAAGCCAATTTTTGATCGAGTGAAAAATATCACCTTATTTAATTATAACAAATCACATCTATTGTCATTAATCTTGAAATGTTTAACAGTAAACATGTTGGTTTTTCTTGTTTGATTGAACTAACGGATGAATTAAACAGTCTAGTCAGTATTTTTAGCCTATCTTAAAAATTGTTTCAACATTTCCAGACTATAAAGTCCAATTATAGCTAATAGTCAATATTACAAGTAAATATAAGTATGTAAAAACAATTATGCATTACTGCTATCCAGCAAACTCCAATAATAATAATACTTTATTTGATAAATAATGTAAATAACAAATGTGTGGTGATTAGTGTCCGTTGGTCGATGATTATTCAGAAATCGTGAGATGCGGTCTGGTGTGACGTAGGTTTCAGAAAAACATTTTCTTTATCGTGCCAACGTTTCGATCTTTATTGAGATCATCTTCAGGGCCTGGATTTACAAACATTGTTTAAATTGAACAAAAATAGGTAGGATGTGGAAAAAAGTGAATTTATACAATGCAAATCAATTTTTTTTATATTCAATCAAAGTATTTCTACTCACTCAAAGTGTTTGTTTTCTGCATAGAGTAGAAATAGTTTGATTGAATATTGAAAAAAAAATTCCATTGTATAAACTCACTTTTTCCCACATCCTACATGTTTTTGTTAAATTTAAACAATGTTTATAAATTTAATCAATTTAACAATGTAAATCCGTGGCCCTGAAGATGATCTCAATAAAGATCGAAACATCGGCACGATAAAGAAAATGTTTTTCTGAAACCTGCATCACACCAGACCACATCTCACGATTTCTGAATAATCATAAATAACAATACATACCCTTTTAAAAAACAAACATTTACAGCAATTCACTAATTTCGTAGTCCGCTTGACCAATTAAATCTTTACAATTAAGGTTTTTAGTTGAGATGAAAAAAAGCTAATGGCACGAGCGGGATTCGAACCCACGATCTTCGGCTAGATACGCCGCTGCTCTACCACTTGAGCTCAACTAAAAACCTTAATTAATTGTAATGATTTAATTGGTCAAGCGGACCACGAAGTTAGTGAATTTAAAGAATTAATATGAAGTACACTTCACTAAAGCTCTCCGTGGCCATTACCGATTACACGACATTTGAAAAATGGCAAAAAGGAGGGAAAACTCATAAGGTGGGGTTGAGATAGGAAGTTGATGTCCGAGTGGATCGAGGTCACGATAGCTCAAGTGGTAGAGCAGCGGCGTATCTAGCCGAAGATCGTGGGTTCGAATCCCGCTCGTGCCATTAGCTTTTTTTCATCTCAACTAAAAACCTTAATTAATTGTAATTTACAGCAATGTAATAGTCTGCTTGGAGTCAACATTATTGAAATATTAATTTTTTTTAAATAATGAAATAGCCAATAAAATTACCAATAAATATTCAATGTGTTTCACCGTATAATTAGAAAAAAGAAAACAAATAACATAATCTGGTGAATATAGAGCAAGATAAATTTATATACAATTAATTAAGTGAAAGATCGTTCTATTAAATCAAAAATTAAATTGTTGTACCAGTTCCTAGCAGTAAAACCAGGCATGGCTCATTTAAAAGTTTGACTATGCTTTTTTCCGAGAGCACAGCACTACCCAAATACGAAATTCTGTAAAACAGAATGGTACATTTAGCCAAGTGCACGATAGTTTCCTTTTTTATTGAATTGCACAGAGAGAACATTTCTGTATCCTTCTGGCAGCCTATCATGGGAATCGGAGGAGTTTTAGAACCTATTCAAGCTTCTCCAGTTATTATAGAGGATAATTGCTTCATTGGAGCGCGCAGCGAGATAGCCGAACCTTAACTACATTATATAAATTTTCCTGTTGGCTTACAATGGCCACTATTAATATCAATCTTAGTAATTTGATCATTTTTTGCAACAATAAAAATCGTTGGAGAAAAAGCTTATGGATGGGCAAAAAGCGAAAGTGGTATTCACAGACTGGTTAGAATACCACCATTTGATGCAAACAGCAAACGTCATACCAGTTTTGCAAGCGTAGATTTGGTTATCTTGAGCAGAGCAAACTTTTACACTGAGAGAATTACTATTTCGTTTTATCTCCTCAACTTTAGTGCTGAGTAAGAATTTTATTCCTTGTTTTTGCAGACTAGAAAGAAGAGACGTACTTAATTTTCCATCCGTTGCTGGTCAAAACGACAAGAAAACTTGTATTTGGCGTAATATTTTTCGCACTATGTGCACCTCATGTCTTTATAAAACTTCTGGTTTTTACCGCTGGAATGATGGTGAATTACCTATATGAATTGTCTAAAATAGATAATAGTCATGAGAGCTATATGGTTAATCATTCGTATCCTTCTAAAGTCAGTTTTCAAGATACCGATTTATCTGATATTGATTTCAGTTTTAGCGAGCTACATCAAGTTGACGTTTCTGTTCTGACATGGAACTCCAGTAGCAAAAAATATTTTTATTTATTATTACCTGAGATGTAATTTTCGTGTACAGGTGACCAGAGAATTTTAAGATTTTCTTTACATATTTAAAATTGGGCTTTAACGTATGCTGAAATAAGGGATCAACACGGGTTTCTATATATAGCATGTTATTTGAAGTACAAGAAGGCAAGGCAAACAACTGCTTGATGTACTTTAATGATATTTTAAACTGATCGTAAGGTCGAAATGACATCCCTATGTGATAATGAACTATAATAAACAATTCACTAGTTTCGTGGTCGCTTGACCAATTAAATCATTNACCCAAATTGTGTAATATTAATCGCAATTTTTGCTGCCGAGACTTTCTGCACAAAGCATCGAGGGAAAAACAAGAAGTTAACATCACAAAAAGTAACCACTTCGATAAGAGTCCCTATGAAATGGCAAACTATTCTTTTAAAAATCGTAATAAATTACAAAAGTTTAGTCTAACAATGAACTGTTATGTTAATTTTTGATGAGTTTTTATAGATAATGTATACGTGCAAAAAAAATTATCAGCATGTACCCAGTATTATAGTTTCTTAATTTTGTTTACGTATCATTTTTTTTGTAAGTGATTTCTCGGAAAAATATTCAAATTCTGTATGATCTGAAGAAATGTTACACGATGATGTCAAAGTATCTTCCTTTTTCCCAGACAAGGCTGTTCTTACAGATATTCAAATGATTGTCTCGGTAGCCGTTTTGGCGAATTGTCCTTTTCCAAAATAAAACCCCATGCCACAATATAAAGAGGGTTATCGGATATTTCAAAAATGCGGATTATTTGCATACGAGCCGATTCCTATCTGGGAGTTGCGGTCCTTGGGATCTTGTTTATCGCCCCCTCCTTGCCGACGACTACACCCCCTCGCGTTTTTCGAAGATATTTCAGAAAACATACACAAGCCGGCACCCCGCTAGGAAAACGCCTATTCTTTAAGCGGCTGAAGTCGTGTTTAGTCATATTTTTTAATCTACCTAAAAATATGTTTACTACCTTGGGAAGATTTAAGGATGAAACCGAGTAATAAACTATATTGTCACAATAAAAAAAATTACTAAAAAGATGGCAGTATCATTTAGAACTATCATAAATTTCCTAATATTTTCGCCAAGCCAACACCCAATTAAAAAAACTCATTATCTACATACAAAAACAACTGTTAAACATCTACATACAAAGTGAACTGAACGCAACCAAAATTTTCTGGTGATTTTAATGTGCAATTGAAAAACAACATTTGATCCTGAGCCTCTTTTTTATCATTTTCTCTCTGAAACATTTAGTTTTTCAAAATGAAAACAAACTGATAGGGTAAAGTGTAGTCATTTTTAATGGCGTTATTGATCATGAAAATTATTATTGTTTACATGTTTTAAAATGTTTTTAATCTTCTTTCGTGGTCAATTGATTTGCAAACTTTTTTGTCATGATCACTGTCAAAAGCAATGATTGCCGATTTTAAAGCCATTAAGTGTCGGGCAGTTCAACACGCTTCATGTTTAAGTTTTTGTTGAGAAATCGCTAAGTGAAACTGTTTTTTTTTTAAATAAAATTATCTACAAATATTGAACGTTTTGGCTTTGGATCTGTTAGCCAAAGACAAACTTTCTAGAGAAACATGAATAGATCCAATCGCCAACAGTCGAACGCCCTTGAACGCGGTCGTCATCCAAGAAAACGCCACTAGTTTTTATACAGCAACAGAACAAGCGATGAGCAGTACCAGAACTTAAAAGATCTTTTCCGGTCAAGATCCGACGAGCATTGCGGACCACTTCTTGGCATTGCAACCAGGCCCTAAAGCCCATGCAGACGACTCTCCCTCTGCCACAGTGCAATCCGAGGCCAGTGAAAATTATGACGCCTCGATGATGACAGATTCTGAAGAAAGTTTACTCGGCAACCTGACAAAATCCCGCTGCCAATAATACCTTATAAACTTCAGACAATTTTTGGAGTTGGAACGAAGGTTCGTATGCGGAGATTTCGATAAATTTTTGATCACTGAATGAAAAAGTTTACCTTCGTTGGATGTATAAGCTACAAAGTTGTACGAAACGTAAACATCTACATATCTATATTTTCTTCTGGGCCAAAATTTCCTGTAATTTTCTCATAACATCTAACGTTTTTCAATTGCATATTAGAATTTAAAAAATACGTATTTTTTTATTTTTCTTGTGGAGAAAAGTTCTAGATGTGCATGTTAACACCCTGTATATTGTGCACGAACAGGATTCAAACATAATGTTGTCGTAGATAGGCTTGCCAAAGATGCCACCACAACAGGCAATTTTCTAAAAGCGCCAGTACTCAGAAACAATCTTCATGCTTTATTAAGATTACAGCTGCAGATAATTGAAAGCCAAATTGAATACCTGTCAAATAACAAAGGGATCACATACAAAAATATGTTTCCGTTGGTAGCACGTGAACCTTGGCTCACCAAAGAAATTAATATAACCAAGGAATTTTGCAAAACAATATAAGGTTAAGATCCAATCACTGTGCAAAGGATATCTCAACAGATTTAATATAATCCCATCACCGAACTGTGAGGACTGCGGAACATATGAGGATCTCAAACACATCGTCATGCACTGCAAGAAACATGCAAATGAACGCAGAAATTATTAAATTCACTAATTTTGTGGTTCGCTTGACCAATTAATATATTACAATTAATTAAGGAGGGAAAACTCAAAAGGTGGGGTTGAGATGGGAAGTTAGTGTCCAAGTGGATCGAGGTCACGATAGCTCAAGTGGTAGAGCAGCAGCGTATCAAGCCAAAGATCGTGGGTTCGAATCCCGCTAGGGCCATTGACTTTTTTATCTCAACTAAAAACCTTATTAATTGCAGAAATTATTTTTGACAGACTCTCAAATGCCGAAGAAATAAATCTTCAATCATGTTATGGATACAAAGCTCTAATATCGTCCTCCAAATTAGCTGTGTACCGTGAATTGTACAGTTTTATTAGGAATATTAATGTAATTGTGTAAATAATGATGTATAAAATGTATATTACAATTATAATATTTAGTTTTTAGGAAATAATAATAATTACATATAAGATGTAAAAGTGATGGCTGTAAAATATTTTGGAGTCAATAAAAGAAAAAAAGACATTGCGAAGATGTGTCGCTGCTTTAACTCTTCCTCTTATGAGTCGTTCATTCCCAATCATTTTTCGTTTGATCATCCCCAAACATCCTGGCTTTCCTATTCTCTCCGGTTAGATTTTAACAAAAAGTGCAAACATCTCATTCTTTGTTTTCTTCCTTTTTCTATGCCGTTTTTTCATCTTAGTTAATTTTTTTCTCCCTTTATGGATTTTTTTACCTCAATAAGTTTTTATGGTTATGAATTGTTTAAGACAAAAATTTATAGAAAAAAAATTGCAGGTATAATTCAATAGGTTCATTTGCATTACTCTGGTTTGGGATTATTGATTTGGTATATAATTGACCACATATCCCATAATCCCAACCTAAGAATATTTAGTATGAATATCATCCAGGTATTCTTTGTTTTGTAACCTTTGTGCCCCTGTTTGGTGCTTAAGAGTCCTAATTGAGCTACATTGTGATATTATGGTTGTGTAGATTCCAAAAGTTTTCTATTGTTGAGTAAGAGTTCTTCAGTCTTTTAGAAAATGTATGACATTTCCTCTGCTTCTTGTAGAATCTACACATCCACTATTTCTAGATGTCCATTGAGTCTGCAGTGTCATGTTAAACTCCCAGTTTCTTCCTTCTTTCTGATGTCTTCCAAAATTCTGCAAGAAGATCCTTAGGTTACTTAAGTTAATGTATGATTTTACACCATATCTTCTTATAAAAGTTTGTCTGATTATTTTTATTATTATTATATGAATTAATGTAATTTTCGCCCTTATAGTTGTTAAGTGCTGGAGTCATTTGATTATTATGTTCATTTCTTTTAATATCTTTTTTATTAGTTACTAAACCCAGCAATGATTACAATACATCTTTGCCTTGAAAATGACCCAAATATTTCTCAGTGTTTCAATTTCAATTTTAGTTTTTAGTCAAGAGGTGAATAGTTTTGACATAATGGAAAATCGTGTGAATGCCATTGCTTTTAATATTTGCATCTTTTTCTTAGGCGATTTAAATATGCTTTTCCAAAATGAAACCCAGTTTCTTGCATGTGCTTTAGACTTATTTACAAGAAACTAATACACTAAAATTAGTCAGAGAAATTAGATAGAGTCAGAGAAATTCAGAACAATCAGATTTATATAAAATGAGTACAGTTGCAGGTATCTGTTCTTTGACAGTTTAAGTATTAAAATCTCTAGCTGTGACAGATGTTACATGCAACATGAAAATGAACGGCAAAATTAAACAAATAATCCAACTTGAAACTTTAAATAATTTTTTAAACTTTTTAAAATTAATTTAAATTTAGATAAAAATTCCACCTATTAAATGTTAAATTTAAAATTGACCAAATTAATTTATAATCTGACCACGTCAAATTATAATCTTATAAAAATCTATTCTAACTGTAATCCAGTGTTATTTATAACAAAATAGACCCCCCATCAATCCCTTCTTTCTTCTCATTGCCTCATTAACAATGTTATAAAAAAAAGACATCCTCCTTTTTCTTCTTCCATGCAATCATAGGACAAGATAAAAAGTGGCGAAGAGTAAAGGTCATCTTGTCAGAATCTGCTTTGATATTGGATTGGAAGAATTGCGTAGATTATTATATAATTAGAAATTAGATTCAGTTTTACACCATTAGTTGGCCAGTAGTGAATGCCAAATGGTCCAAGCATAACCACATGTAAAAGTAGTGCCCCTATATGTGCAAAGTGTAATTTTCGATTAAACATCGCAAATTTAGAAATTTAAAGAAACAGAAAAAAACTACTGGTGTGTAATGAAAAAGAAAATTCTTATGGCAAATTATTACATTTGTAGGTTTCAGTGTGGGAATGGATGAGACAAAACCAAAGGAGATCGAAAATGAAGAAGAAGCCGATGACGATCCTCAGACTCTAACTACCTATGTCACTGTGCCTCCTGATGGTGGATGGGGTTGGGTAATTGTCGCAGCATCATTTATATGCAATCTAGTGGTTGACGGCATTGTATTCTCCTTTGGTGCACTGCTTAAAGAAATAGCAGATGAATTTGAAGTGTCTGATTCTAAAGCTACAATAGCCGGATCGTTGCTTTCCGGTTTCTATCTTATTGCGGGTATGTATTTATACAAAAGTGTGCATAAGTGCAATATTGATTTTCATTGAATTTTTAGGACCTTTTGTTAGTGCTTTGGCAAACAGATATGGATTCCGTTTCACTGGTGTCATTGGAGGTTTATTTTCAGGAGTTATTTTTGCATTATCAAGCTTAGCTCCAAATATTGAATTTTTATGGGTATTTTATGGCATACTAGGAGGTGAATATTTTCTTATAAATTATAAAATATCGTTGTATAATAAATTGGTTATAATTTTAATTTGTCTAGGGATTGGGTTTAGCATGATTTACGTCCCGGCTGTGATAACAACTGGTTTTTACTTTGAAAAATGGAGGGCACTAGCTACAGGAATCTCAGTCACAGGATCTGGTGTTGGTACAATCGTAATGGGCCCTGTAACAATCGCTTTAATAAAAATGTTTGGCTGGAGAGGAGCAATCCTTTGTCAAGCAGGTAAAAATACATGAACTTGTAGGATTGTAAATGTGAAAATATAGACGTGCAATGCAATGTTATACATGTTAAGAAACTAAAAACATAAACTCTAATAATTATTCAGAAATGGTGAGATGTGAGTGTTTGTCTTCTGTGTAATTGTGCCATTCTTGCGTGTCGTGTTGAGAGTGCCCTCTCTGTGAGAAACACGACACGCAAGAATGGCACAATTACACAGAAGACAAACACTTCGAGCCCTGAAGATGATCTCAATAAAGATTGAAACATTGGCACGATAAAGAAAATGCTTTTCTGAAACTTATATCACACCAGACCGCATCTCATGATTTCTGAATAATTATCGATTAACAGTCACTAACCACCACACATAAACTCTAATGCTCACTGTTAAAGTACCTAACACATTTGTGTAAAAATTTTAGGTATAATCATTACTTGTTCAATGTTTAGTGCATTGTACAGACCTCTCAAACCTATAAAAGTAAATGTAAATTTTGATGAGGCAAATGCTGAAGACAAGACAAAGCTGCCACTTTTGGACAGGATAAAAATTGCGAGAGATCAGCTTAAGAAAACTGACTCAACAATAAGCATCGATAATGAAATTGGCATCACGGCACAACAGCCAACAGGCGTTAATAAATTCTTAAAAGCCAACAACAATGTTTCTTATCCAACCGCAGCAGAGGCACTGACTGTGAGCACTGAAAATGTAGAACAATCTTGTGAATCTCTGTGCACCAAGGAAAATACCAAAAACAAGGAGAAGAGGAGAAGTCTGTACTCTGACATACTGGCTAAAGACAAAACAAGCTCAGACAGTCATGATCCCCTTAAAGAATATACTGCAGATGATGAGTTGATGTCTGAACACAACCATGATGAAGTTTTCCAAGGTCATAAAAAGGAAAAGAAAGCTTCAGAGGTTAGAAGAGATAGTATAACAATTAAATATAGATCAAGAACGACATCAGATAGCAGCTACAAGAGCTCAAGGTCGAGAAGGAACACGCTTTCAAAAATAGATGCTGGCGTCAGGCCGCTGTACCGAGATGACATATTCTTTCAAGCAAGTCTCAACAGGCTTCCCCAGTATGCTTCCCATGTATGTAATTATGTTGTATCTCGTCACCAACAAGTTTGGCAGGCTTTACATTTTTTTACACTTTCAGGCTAGTGGTCTGGACTACTCATTGTCAGTTACAAGACTGCCTACTTGGAAAGATGTGCAAGAAGAGGAAGAGGCCAAATGCGTTCTATGCCCAGAAGCCGTGCGAAGGACGCTCGCTACAATGTTAGATTTAACTCTTTTGAAATCTCCCACATTCTTGTTGTTTTCGAGTGCTGGGTTCATTACGATGATGGGGATGTTTGTACCGTTCATGTTCTTAGGAGGTAAGGATCATTTTTCCACAATGGGTGTCAATAATTTTCTTGCATGCATAAACAACAGTGTTAAAAATTTACAATAATACAAATTATTTGGGTTATATAACAATGTTAACAAATTAAATTCACTAGTTTCGTGGTCCGCTTGACCAATTAATATCTTACATTTAATTAAGGTTTTCAGTTGAGATAAAAAAGTCAATGGCACAAGATGAGGTCACGATAGCTCAAGTGGTAGAGCAGCGGCGTATCAAGCCGAAGATCGTGGGTTCAAATCCTTCTCGTGCCATTGACTTTTTATCTCAACTGAAAACCTTAATTAATTGTAAAATGTTAACAAAAATTTATCCACATAAAAATATAAAATATTTTACAACTAATTAGGATGTTACTTTCAGCTAGAGCAATCAATAATGGTTATGACAAAGAACTAGCTGTGTTTCTTGTGTCATCAATTGGAATCACAAACACAATTGGTCGGATATTATGTGGTGCTATCACAAGCATTCCAGGCGTTAGCTCTCTGTGGATAAATAACATTGCTCTCACAGTGGGTGGCATTGCTACTATGTTCAGCGGGATATCACATGAAGGCTACTTTCAATTTGGCTTTGCGGCAATATTTGGCTTGTCAATTTGTAAGTTAGATTTGATATAGTTAGAAATTTAACAATATATTTAAATTGTGTCAAACAGCCTGCTTTGCCTCCCTTCGATCAATTATGATCGTCGACCTTATTGGGCTAGAAAATCTGACCAATGCATTCGGGCTGCTCTTACTTTTTCAAGGCGTAGCTGCTACCATTGGATCACCAATTGCAGGTAAGGCAATTAAAATGTGTTTTTTACCATTCCTTTTAACACTATATAACTATGATTTTTCAGGAATGTTTTATGATTTGACTGGATCATATGACATTTCGTTTTATCTCTCTGGTGCTTTAATACTACTTTCTGGAGTCATGTGCTATCCACTTAACCACTTGAAGAGATGGGAGGAATCTAGGAAAAAAGAAAATGACAAACAATCAAAAAAGGAAGTTGTGTAAAATTTTAAGGAAACATTAACGAAATCTGTGGATGGAATAAATGATATTTATTTAAACTGAATTAATATATAAAAAGGAAAATTATTGTTTCTAGTTTACTAAATCAGTTATAACTCATTAAAACTGATTATGAATAATTAATTAACCCAGAATTAACAACTTTGAAACTTAATGAGTAATGTGTTAGTAACTATTTAATTTTATAATTGATTTTTGACCGTGTATTCACTCAGGCACGACTATAGAAATACTGAAAAAGAAATACTCGTTGCTTTCTTGCAATTGAGAATAATTTGACATTTTGCTCTTGAGAGCATTTTGTAGAAGTGTTGGAACAAATGTGGCTTAATATTTGCAAAAAAATTTACATATGTTACCAAGACACCAATGCTTTGTAAATATCACATCACTAAAATATGAATTTTAGTGGTAGGCAATATTTTTGTACATATTTTACGATATTTTTAAATGTATTTGTTTTTATAGACTTCTTATGTGAAAATGTCTTCTGTGATGTTACTGTTAAGGATTGAAATATAATTTTTGAGTTTTTGTTTTATTAAACTCCTTGTCTCTTTCTTTCACTATTAAAAATCAGTTTTTGTTTATTGAAAAATGAAAAATTACGTAGAAAAAATAATCAAATTAGTATTTTGTGAGTCAGGAACACACAAATACAATGTGTCCAATTATAAGATCACTCGATTATTTGAGTTTGTTGTTGTTTAATTGTCTGTAAGGGGGCGTCGGTGGCCGCAGTGGTTTAATCGTTGACATGGTGCTCATCACTGTAAGGTTAAGGTCCCGGTTCGAATCCAGCAGCCCTGCATTCAACCTGACATATTTAACACCAGCACCCTGAGGGTTTATATGACCTCTGCTGTTGCGAACCCTTCACAGAAAAAAACAAAAAAATTGTCTGTCAAGAGGGATTCAAATATATGACAATAATAAATAATGCAATAATGCGAATAAATTCACTAGTTTTCGTGGTCCGCTTGACCAATTAATATCTTTCAGTTAATTAAGATTTTTAGTTGAGTTAAAAAAGTCAGTGTTATGAGCAGGATTCGAAACCACGACCTTCAGCTAGAAACGCCGCTACTATAGTGCAAGTGGTAGAGTAGCGGCGTATCTAGCCGAAGGTCGTGGGTTCGAATCCCGCTCGTGACACTGACTTTTTTTATCTCAACTAACAACCTTAATTAATTGAAAGAGTAATACATAGATGTCTTGTAGGTATAATGACAGATGTAAATCGCTTAACGATCATAATAGTTACATATATCGTAATAGATTGATAAAAATAGATATGGTAAATATGTACATATAAAAATATATTAGTAGTGTGATACGTTCAAAGGTAGGAATGCTTAGAATGGTAGAAACTTAAATCGATAATTAAGTAGTTTGATGCTAATTGGTGATAATTGAGTCTTTGAAAGATAAGGACTGATCGATAAATAAATATAGATAGAAATGAATAATGTGGTAAATTTGTATGCTGTTGTCATCTGTTCCATTATGTATGTAAATAGACAACAATTCAAAAGTGTGGTTGATAAATAAAGATGAGAAAGATAAGAAACGTACATAGACACTAACTTCAATTCAAAAGGTGGGGTTGAGATGGGAAGTTGGTGTCCGAGCGAATCGAGGTCACGATAGCTCAAGTGGTAGAGCAGCGGCGTATCAAGCCGAAGATCATGGGTTCGAATCCCGCTCGTGACATTGACTTTTTTATCTCAACTAAAAACCTTAATTAATTGAAAAATGCGAATACAGTCAACTCTTGATAATTCAAAACCGAAGAGACCAAAAAAATAATTCAAATTATCAAGTGGTAAAAAAAAAACTTGTTAAGAGTTGACATGCATTTTTCCAAGTTATTACATAAGTGTGTGGTGACCATAAGTTAATGATTATTTGAAAATCTTGAAATGCGATCTTGTGTAACGTACGTTTTAGAAAAACATTTTATTTATCGTGCCAACGTTTCGATCTTTATTGAAATCATCTTCAGAGCCTGGGATTGATAAACATTGTTTAAATTTTATAAATACATGCCATAATGTGAAAAAAAAACGGGGCGCTATAGAGAATGTTTTTTTCTAACCTCTGTCACATGAGACCGCATCTCACGATTTTCAAATAGTTATTATATAAACTGTACAGACAAAAACAGTAAAAATAATGAAAAGCAGAAATAGATCAACTGCAAAATTGAATGTTGGTACACATTATTAAAAAAAAAATTGTGAAGTTGTTTTTGTTTCAATGTGGCCTGGTGTCTTTTGTTTAAATGATTTTCCAAAATGACCAGTGTTGAGGCCACATTGACAAAACACTGACCACAAACATAACAAACCAGAGAATATTCTAAGACATGTCAGGCTGTAGGTAGGTAACCACTAAACATAAATGGATAATATTTAATAAGTAAAGTAATAAGTAAAGTAATAAGTAAAGTAAATAAGTAAATCACTTCACTAACAGCTCCCACTTCATAAGTCGTTGAGAATCGAATCCCGATTTTGAAAAATGTCAAAAAGAAGGAAAATTCAAAAAAGTAGTACGCTGAGATGGGGAATTGGTGTCATTTAGATGGAAGACACAATAGCTCAAGTAGTTAGAGCAGCAACGTATTTAGCCAAAGGTCATGGGTTCGAATCCCGCTTGTGACACTAACTTTTTAGTAAAGTAATCTCAACCAAGACCTTACATAAAAAGAATAATTAATTGAAATTCTCAATATTGTTAAAATTCAACTGCTTGATAAATTATCGTAATAAAAAGCACAAATATTTCACTCGGGTACTCTGGAATAGAGCAATGAAGTAACAATAGAATAGACAATTGTTTCTGATTGACTCAGGCAAGATTAAAAAAATGTATCAGCTTCTTTTGTTTCAATACTACTATAAAAAAATTGGGTCATCAGGGGTATTGGTATATTTTTATATTTCATTTATACACTGATGAGCAAGTTTAACACACCACTCAATTTATTTAGTTATTATTATTAATTTTTAAGGTTTTTATTTAGTTTAAAATTAAATCCATTATCTGTCCAAATTAGGTACAGGTAATGAGTATCTTATTCAAAATAAACAGTAAATAATGCTTTGTTTGCTTCATTTTCTTTCATATTATTTAATAATTATGCCTTTCCATTCTGATACGCCTAAAGATCACTCTCGGTTAATCTTTTTTCTTCTTTGATTTCATTTAATTTTATTCTTATTCTTAAACCCTTTTCAATAGCTCCATTTGAGTATGACCTGTCAGGGTCAGAACATTATTAGAGGAAAGATATGTACTGCCAGCATGAAGTTACCAGGAGACTTGAGTGTAAATCACTCTAAAACAGGAATGGTTCTTCAGGGGAAATACAGGGCTTTACACTAGAATTCTAGGACAGGATCGACCTAGGTCTAGTCGAGAGAGATGACAGATGAATCTGTCATCAGGAAACTGCAGCATAATGAGAAATGTGATAAGAAATCTGTAAGACAAGTTCGAAATGTTACAATTTCCCCAGGACTGTAAGAACAAGGCTCAATGAAAATAACCTCAAGTGCCTGTCACCGAGCATGTGGATCTTTTACCACAGAAAATGGCCAGTGTTCAGTTTGCATGGAACATGTGACTTGGACATTGGCATATTGGGGACAAGTGGTTGGGACATCCTTTACATATGGGGTGAAATCTTCAGATGGTAGTTATTTCATATGGAGACACTCAGAAAAAATATACGCCTCATGTTGTATAGTTCCTCAGGTTACATTCGATAGTGGGTCATTGATGTTCTGGTGTAGCATTTCCTTGGACCACCCAAAATGGTTGGTGTGCAATAAAGATACCTAAAACTTTCTAAGAGGTACTTCTAATACTTAATCAAAGAAAATTGTCACGAAGCACCCTCATGACAAGAGGACTGAGCCCAGGATTGGGGGTAGACAGGCGTGAAGTGGGGAAAGCGCGAACTGAGAGATTAGGAGTGTTGCTCTGGCCCTCACAAGGTGCGGGGGCCACCTTGCTCCCACCTGCTGACCAACTTTCAAAACTGACAAGATTTTAAATATCTGGCCCAAAATGGCCATTAGTACATGATGTATGTATATTTGAATATATTTACCCATAAGGACATAACAGCTGATGTAGAAAAAATCAAAGTAATCCAGTTTTGCACGCACAATGGACCTTACCATGACAGCATTAGCTTTAGCCTTGTCAATTTTAAAGATGCATTATGTGAACCATGTTTCAAATGACATATTTATTTGACGACTCCAGATACCTCTTTTCTTTTTGGGCACCAGGACATTCATCTCATGTGCTTTTCAGTTTATTATTATTAAGGCAGTTAAAAATCTATATGGTTTGTGTCAACACCTAAAAGTTCGCTGCAAAACAATTTTAATATTCTTATTCTTAAGAGAATTTTGGTTTTCAGAAGACCCTACAAATGTTATTTATACTGTGGGTTGAGAGCCAATTTAAGGCTTGAAAGGACAATTGTTTAAAATAATATTTCTCTTTTGTTTTAAATTAATGTAATGTAAATTAACTTTTGTAACATAGTGATTTTATATATATATATGTCTAACATTGGCTAATAATGCATAACATGTTTACAAAATAAAAAATAGATAATAACGTACTTTTTTCTTCACTTTAATAGATTTCTTAAAATCCTTTATAATTTACTCTTATTTAAAAAGCAACAATTCAATAAATTATATGCATAAAATATTAACATTTAATACATATGAAATATATAAAAACAATATTTAAGTACATTAACGGTGCAATTGAGTACCATTAATATTTTGCCAATTTCACGCCATATTTGACTAGCTTCTCTTGGTTGGTTGTTTTGTAATATTCTTAACGATATTCCACTGGAGATAGTTAAACTATTAACACTGAAATAAGAAAAAATTAATGGAAGTAGCACTTTCAGTTTTAAACTTGTCAATACACCAAATTTCAATTTTTTTTCCTGTTTACATTATGGGTCATCCATTTTGAATATTGGAGAAATGTTTCCTTTTTTTCCGGCAACTTCAGATTTAATCATGACCAAGACTTGTATATATTATTAACACACTAAAATACTTACTTATTTAAACAATAAGTAGGCCATATTTTTTAAAATTTAATATTCTCTTTTGTAGTTATACCTTTTGTTGTTTGCGTTTTATTGGATAAAATGTCTACTGTGTTGTTAATATTAAGGCATGAATGTTATTTTTTTTAAATGCTTAAAGCAATGGATTTACCCGTTACTTAAGCAACTTTTAAACCCAGCCCATTCCCTCACATACACATTTTCTTTTAAATTAGCAGCCTTTTCAATAACCCTTAAGTTTTATAAAAATATTCTAAGAGAAGAAAGAAAAGGATTAATTTTGTTATTTAAATAAAACTTATGATTAAAAATTAACGAAGAAAGTTTAATTGATATTTAACATCGTAATTACAGTATTTGGAATATTAGTTGTTTTAAAATTAAGATTTTTTGCTGTTATATGAGTACAGTTTTTCCACAACGCTTACAGGAGAAATAATAATCCTTTTTTTTATAGTAGAGACATATTCTGATAAATTTAAAAAGAACGTGCTTTAGTAATACCTCTACTCTACCTTAGGTTAACTAATATATTTACCTAATAATTATTGGTGAGTTTCACCGACATACTAAATAAAATTGTCCATTGCTTAATTTTATTTAATCCAAGGTAATTTTGTCCTTAAAGAAAGTAGTTTATATCAGTACAATATTTTGAAGTCATTCGTATTCACACTAAATACTATGAGCACACAGTTTTACACTTGGAGGCACATAATTTAAATAATAGTTAAAGTTTATTTATATAGTTAAATTGTTATATTCGCCACAGTAAACATTTTATAAAATACAACACCGAGATAGTTTTAACTTACTAATTAGTAGTTTATATTTGAGAAGACATATATTTTTTATAATTTTTTTCCTTGTAATGGAGTCCTACTCAAGTGAATTACTTGTAATTATTTGTGTATTATAATTTGATATATCTATATGAATACAATGTTATAGAATTTTTAAAGTGAATATTGTATGCTCTATAATTCACAAATAATTAAATAATAAAACAAAAGGACATAAAAATCACATTTGTTGTATATATTTGTACAGCGCAACGAATTGGGCATTTGTTCTCTACGCCTAAGGAGAATAGGTTATAATCTAACAAAAATGGTTAAAAAAGAAAAAAATAATAATTTAAAAAAATAATTAAAAACAAGAAAACGCTTTAATGTCTTTTAAGAATACAATTTTGCCAAAAAAAAAAAAAAAATTACGTGATGGTCAGGAATGTGTGAAAAGGTTATCTATATTCACTAAGTGTAAAGATTGGGGAAAACTGTGAAGTTTTCTTTTTTTTAACTATCTAAAACGGTAATTATTTTCATTTGTGACTACAAAAAACAAAAAAAATACAGAAAAAAGAAGAGTAAAACAAAATAAAAACAGAAAAACTAAAGACAAAAAAAATGCTTGTATTATATAAATTAAGATAAATACCACATATATAATAATGGTTGTCTAAATTACTTTTTTTTACAAAAATTTACACAGATATTTTTATGTTAGAACGTTGCATTCACTTATAGATACCACTGAAAACATCAAAGCCCACTGAATGTCAATTGTGGTTAGGCTCTTGCCAGGTTGAGTGGTTTTTTCTCACTTGGAAAGCAGAATTGCATTTCGCATAACTTGAACATTGCAGAAACAATTCACTTCGATGTCATCATGGTTACAAATTCTGGAACAGATGATAAAATAAGAAACAATTAGTACAAGAAGTAAAAACTATGGTAACTAGCATTTTAAAATTTGTCTCCTGAAAATTCAGCGAGTAAAGTTTAAAGGTAAGTCTTTCTATTTAAAACCTATTATTACAGGATTTTAAATTATTAGTTCCGTTATTAGCACAGTTAAGTTTTGTTTCAAAAGAAAAGAATGCAAAAGTTTTGTGGTGTATTGAATTAACTCTTGACTATTATTTCTTGCAAAGGGTAAGTAAAAAACAAGTAGTCAACTAAATTTTCCTCTTTAACCCTTATCAAAAACTAAAACAAATATTAAATTATTGATAAAATCAACAGTTGTAATTGAAATGATGTAGCGATCAAGGTTGAGGGTGTTTCTTAATCCAAAAAACTGTTCTGCTAATAAGAGGCATAACTGTTTTTCGAACAAGAAAAATCCCCTACCTTGATCACTACATCAATACTAAAACAAATATCCTTTCACTAAATCTAGTTGTTAGTGAAATATATTTATTTATACAAAATTATAAACATGTTCAGTTTCACATCTAGATTTAAAAAAAAAAAAAAAAATCTAGTTGTGAAACTGAAAATGTTTATAATTTTGTATAAATAAATATATTTCATGGTGGTTAATTCAATGCAGTGAGGTAAATGCTAAAATATTGTTATATGAATAAAAAAATTATTAATTTTTCTTTCTTTTATGCCAGGTTAAGCCAAATCTCATGTCCAAATATGCGGGAGTGGCTCTTAAAGGGCACAGAAGACAATTATCATTTTTACTGCTGTGTATTATTAGTGTTAAATGTACTTAAGACCGGATTGCAATTGCATCTTTTTATTGCATACTCTGCTATCAAACCAAGACAAAAAGACAAATCATGGAAAAGACATTCTTTTGACTATTTTTTTTGCACAATATTGCGTTTTTGCATTATTGTATAAAATTGCATGATGTTTTTACCGCACAAATCTGCATTTGGTATTATTTTTTAAATGTGCATCTGTTGAAATTTGTGACTTGTGTTAATTGCAGTTATCTACCATATTTTTAAATTTAATAATATTAAATCATTTATGTTCAATTGGTACTTTTTACCTATCTTGCAATTTAGCTGTTCTGAGGGTCTTCTATTGCATTCTTTAATGGTTTTAACTGTACAAAACCCCGGTATTTAGATATAACTTTACGCTGTATTTAAAATTAATTTACCCTGCTCAGATTGAAAGAAAAGAAGAAGAAATTAAAATTCTGTTAGTCGTTTTAAAAAAAAGTTTCAATTAAAAAATTAGTGTTTCCAATTTTAAATAAGGTAAGTACTTATGCCCTTGCTTTTGTAAAAGAAAAACTACTTCAAGGTTGAATACTAGTATAATTATTGTAATTATTGTTAAACTCTTTAAATGGTAGCAAGTTGTTAGAAAACGTAGATTCAATGGTCAAGCCACCCTACAACGATCGATGATGATTACTAGTGAGAGGAAAAGTATTCTACCTCTCTCGGTATCGGTGGAATTTTCAAATGACATTGTAAACCGCTGTCTTAGACAAACTGTTGTCCACAATATCCCGATGAAGATTAGATCATTAGATAGATCTTATGTTGAAGCGAAACATATTTTTTTTATGAACCTTCGAGGTGCAGGTTTTTTGGAGGGGAGGGGGCTCATTTGTATGCCATCCCCCACAGTATGTTGATGTCTCTAAGTTTACTCCAGGATCAAAAAGATCAAAAGAGGATTGCACTTTGAAGAAAAATTACAAGGAATGGTATAAGTGGTTATTTCAAACAAATCCTTTATGCCATAGGCATACGCCAAGGAAAAGTTGGCTCAATTATAAATTTTCCAGATATCAGGAGAAAATTTTGTTTTCACTTTCAGTTCCTGTGTTGAACTGATCCATGTTTTCATTAGATTGAAATTTGTTATATGGAGCATGTAGGCGAAAATTGATTGGAATTAAAGCCAAACAGAAACAAGACATTGTTTCAACAAATAATCTTTAGGAACAATACTAGTGGTTATTCAAATGGATAAAAGTGGTTAAGGTTTTGGACATTTTAATTTACATTTACCACATCGATCCATGGTATTTTGATACAAGCTTTGTTTTGGAATTTTCTGACACCTTACTTTAAATTTCATTATTTTTCTAAATAGAATAATGACTTACAGTCAGTAATTATTATACAGACTTAGACTGGGAAATCAAGTGATAAAATTTTAGATAATTATGATTATATGATGATAAAAGACCCTTTTTTAAAAATCTATTTAATGCAATAAAAAACACAATGTAGTATTATTGATTAGTATGTCATGTTTATAGTTTGGAGATATTCAGCCACAATCGGAACAATGAATCCAAGAACAATCTGCATGACCAAGTCTCTACAAGCAGGACACCTGTGCCCAATTTGCCCAAAAGTAGTTGTCTGTGTTTATTTGGTACGGCCACGATCCCATCTTCCTTGCGTGTATGACCTTCAGTGGGCATCGCTTAGTCATGTTCTTGGTTTATTGTTATTACGACAATTAAAAATCTGTATAGTTTGTCAGTTGGATTTCTACTTCGTTTTTAGTACATGTCGTGATTAGCAAATTGGAAAAGATTGCATGATCATAGAAAGTGTACATACACAATACATGTGCAATCAAAGATAATTAAGCTTCCTTTATAATTTCTATTTAAAATGTCACAGTTAATTTTAAATTAAGAAAAATAGCAGGGAAATACAATAAGATTTAACTTCTTTTTTCTCTCTCCTTTTTCTAATGTTTATAATAAAACACACCATGTTTCATTAAAATCTCATGAGCATGTAAAACACTTTATGTGCCAATGTTTAAGTAACAAAATGTATGATTTTGGTATCATGAAGGCCAACCAAAAGTATCAAAATTACAATACTTGATTTATTCTTTTATTCCTTAATGATTTCATAATTATGATTCAGTCAATCAGCCTTAACAAAATTGTGGAACTACTTTTACTTAAAATCCTGCATGAAAATTGGTTTAATAGTACAAAAGTTACCTGCGCGATAAAATTCTTAATAGAGTGTGTGCATCAGACTCATCAAATCAAACTTTTGTACAAATCACCAAAAAACCAGTGTTACTGTGCTTGTTAAAATATAATTAATTATATATTTTACCTCCAAAATAACAACCGGTTTTAAATGTAACTGATTTATTGGAAAAAAAAAAAAGTTTTAAACTAAAGTAATTATCAATCAAATTATTGGGGAAAAATTACTTTATATATTTTGTAGATGAACCAATGATGAAATATCGGTAAATTAAGTAATCAGCGTAAAGAAGTGTTATAAAGCTTTCCCAAATTTTTTTAAACAAATAATTGTTATCATGATCGTTGTTAGTAGATGTTAAAATCAAAAACAGGCCAAGATCCTAACAATCAGTATTATTTTAAACCTAACGTTTTATTTTTACCTACTCAGAGAACTGTCCATGCAAAAAATAAAATGCGAAAAACATCACATGCAACTTTTTATTTTATTTTAAGAAACAAATGCCATTAGACGATTTAATTCAAGGATATTATTCTTTAGGATCAATTTCAAAGTGTCAATTTAATAAATGTTAGTTTAACTACCAAACTTTTTAACCTAAATGTGCTAATTTGTGTATGAGCATTGAAAATAGTGTCCATTTCGTTATAAAAAATGAAAATAAATAAATTAGAACTACAACAATCACAGATTATGTATATACAAATTACAATCATGTATATTCACTAACTAATTTGTATTATAAATATGTACACACATAAAATGAAATTATGTATATAAAAAAAGTTGTGCCTTGGGTGACATTAATACATTCGGTGTATCATCTCTTACAAAATTTTAAGGAGTAACAGAAAAAAAAAGTATTGAGAAAATAATGTAAAGACAATCAAAAACCATTTCAAAGAAAAAATAAGGTTTAAAATATATTCATATATATACGTTTCAAAAGAAAACCAAACAAAAACACAGAATAGTTCTTAAAAAATAAATTTAATGAATGTAGTAAAGGGATTGTTTAAATCACCAGCTTTTAAAGAAATATACAAGAAAGTATTTTGTGTCAATTTTCTTCAAAAAATGAGGACTTTGAACTAATTTAATCACAATTGGATAATATCATAAACTGTCTCATCTCTGTAAATTTGTATTGAATAGAAACATACATTTTAAGAAAAATACGGATAACAAGGTCAATGATGCTTGGTCACAATGTCAGGGGGTTTAGTAACATGTCGAGAAAAAATCCTCAATGAGATGAAATAATCTTTAATTTTTTTCATTTGGGGTGGGGAACATGCATTTTTGTGGTTAACAATTTGTTAACAATATGTGCCTGGATTGTTTTTGTTGTCCTATAACTATAATAAAATTACAACATTCGAAAAAATAATTCTAATCAATTATGCATTATATATGCTAACGATTATTGTTATGTTTGAGTCAATAAGTCAAAAATTAAATGCCAGTTAAAAAAAATAAATAAATAAAAATTACCAATGATCTTGAGAAGTCAACTTTATCAATTTGTTTCAATCAGACAATGATAATGTATGGCTTGGTTATATTTGTAAAAGTTTGGAATGAATGATTTATAAGAAAGTTAAAAACTATGAATATCGTACTGTCTTAATGTATGATGTAGGTACTAAAATAATTATTAAGATGATGGAATTAGTATTTATTACTAGATAGACCGTATATTTAATATTCAATTAAAAATAGACGAATGCATTAAGATGTTTGGTTAATTACAAATAAGTTATGTAAATTAAAACAATTACTTATTTATTTGTGTAGAACAAATGTTCTTATAGCCCCAAGACTATTATAAAACTTTCCTTTTGTTTACCAAATTATTTCTCTTGCATGTAAGTTGGATCTATTTAACTTGGATTTATATAAAATGTTATTTGTGTAAATATAAAACAAACAATATGTACGTAACATCCAAAAATAATAAAAAAAATAAAAAAATGCATCAGTGTTTATTAGTTTTCAACTTCTGTGTCTTTCTCATCCAATAAATCCTGATCCAACTTGGCTGCAAACAAATAATCAAAATCATCCTCCTGTGCAAGCAGTTCTGCCTGTCTTTTTTCTCGGAGTTTCTTTTCTTTTTTTAACTTTTTCTCAATCTTTTTCTTATCGATTGCTTGGAGTGTTTTAATATTACAATTCATATTGTGAACAAATGCTGAAATTGTCATTTAAACAGGGATTATAATAAGTGATAATCAGTTTTCTTTTTTAATAAGGTTTCAGGTAGCTATTTTCATGCTATGTTTCATGATGCTATTGTAAGACATGCGACTTCTGTCTTTTATTTCATTTTAATCTTATTTCACCTCAATAAAAACCAGGGTCAGAGCAAACAAACTCAATTTAAATAAATAAAGTGTATTCCATCAGATGAAAATAAATGACGTATTAGACTTCATTGCATTATTTCTACTAGGCTTTGGTTCACGCTAAAGAAACGGGTTTGTGGGAGGTTATGGAGCGGAATATAAGGGGGTGGAGGGTATTCAAAACTGGGTACGAAAGAAACAACATGCCCTACGAGCTGGTGATCTATCGGTGTTGGTTTCAACAAACACAACTAACATGACATTCCTTTTAAAGCATACGTGTCTCACTGACCGAGCATCGGCTGAAAACTATTCGAGCAATAGTATGGAAATCTGCAAGGAGAGACAGCATTGTGTCATGATAAAATACAGAACTGACGAAAAGAAAAATAAAAACCAAAGAAAATTAAAGAATTTTATTTTCCTTAATTGTTATAATTTCTCTTCTCTTTTTAACCATTTAAAATAGAACAGAAGAAAGAATCTTAAGAATCACCGTCTTATCAAAAAATCAGAGGTGCCCACTTAGCAAATTATTCCCAAGGAAATTAAGAGATGTAAAACTTCAATGCAGATACGCTGATATTTTCTTGATAATTATTACTTGTAACTCATATTCCAACCATCCCAAAACTGAACCAATAAAGATATTTATGTTTTAATCAGGCAATAATACAGTTAATATTCCACCAACCATTCTAAAAGTTTAAATTATGCGGTAAAAGGTCGCTTTTTTTAAAGGAAAATATTAACCATGCTTTAAATATCTTTATCAGTGACTACTATTCTAATTTTTTGTATTATTTTCAGTGACACTTAAGGATGGGATGTAACCTTAAAGGTTCTTAGTGCACTATTTGTCTACGTGCAACATAGTCATCTAATACATCTAATCTATTTCTTGATTCCTTAGCTAGAAGGTTGTTTTGATCATTTTAAAATAGGAAAAACAAATTAGAATATAGTGATGCTACACTAATTCAATTGAAAATTAATTGGAATCATGTTAGTGCTGTTTATTTCCAAGCCTCCTGATTAATAAAAATATATTAGGAAAAAGTTTTAAACAAGTCTTCAAAATGAGAGTAATTTTTTCTCTCCTTCAAATTTTGTTTAACTAAATGTTAATTAATATCCACAATTCTCCATCCTAAAATCACAAAAAGTATCGAACATTGAAGTTTAAAAGAAATAGAAATTGTTATAGGGCGCAACAGAATGGTAATAATTTGACCAAAATATTACCGAACACCTGTGACTTTAAGAACATTTGTTTTATATTTTAACTAGATATATAATTCTTCTTAGTTTTGATTTCCCAGTTAACACATCTAAAAATGATCAATCATGATAAATGCATATAGACATGACACTAAAGAGAAAAAATGAGTGGGAGAAATGAATATAAATATTAACAAGGAAAATTCCTCGTCATTGCTTTCATTTTTAAAAGTTAAAGGACTTCATCGTTTTAGTAGTATGTACAAGTAGGCGATGAATAATTTGGTTAATAATTGGATAACCAGTGCTCATTCCAAACAGTCCAATTAGTAAAAACATAAATATTAACAAAAAAAGATGTCTTTTTTTAAAACATGAATTTTATAAAAGAAAAAAATTGCAATGTTTAAAAAATATTAATATTAAAATATACTTATAAAAAAAACTAAAACTCACCTTCGTAGTTCACCTGGCCATCACCATCAATATCCGCTTCACGGATCATTTCATCGACTTCTTCATCTGTGAGTTTCTCCCCGAGATTTGTCATAACATGCCGGAGCTCAGCTGCCGAGATGAATCCGTTGCCGTCTTTATCGAATACTCTAAATGCTTCTCGAATCTCCTCCTCACTGTCTGTATCTTTCATTTTTCTGGCCATCATGGTCAGAAATTCGGGGAAATCGATTGTTCCATTGCCTGTTGGGACATTTTGACGATTCACTCAACGGCTAATATAACGTCTTTTTTTCTATGGAATGTTTAGTAATAATCACAACTGTAGGTCAATAGCCTCTTGATAATAACTGTATTACATTGAACAAAATTTTCTAGTTTTATTGACCTCACAGTCAAAGACAATTGATCCACAAAATATTTATATTAATTGGATCTAGTTATTGTTGATTTAAATATAAGTTGATTATTCTATTATCATCAAAACATCAGTACATATAGACACGATAAAGTTTAATTGATTTTCTTTTGCTAAACACACCAGAGCATATTTATACTGAAAATTTTTACAGCACATAAGGAAATTAATTAAAAATATACATAAAGCAAAAATGGAAATTATTGGGTAAGGTAAATTTTTTGCCGACTAAATTTGTGTTGATGAAATACTCCAAAAGTCAATAGATCTAAAATTTGTGCTAACAAACAAAAATATAGAGTAGAACATTACAGGCCTTTAAGAATTGTTATTAGACCCAAATCAACACACCTTACATGAATATTGCATTATAACTACAATAATTTATTATTTCCAAAGCAGTAATCAGGTAGTTCAATTAATCCTTATCCAACTGAACAATAATTAATTTTGTTTACTTTATTTAATATCGAACTCTTGGTTTATTAGTGAATGGTCTTTTTAAAAATGTAATTCTTTATTAATCTTGGCTATTGATCCAACAGTAACTAATCAATTATATGTGACTGACCTCAGTTGAAATGAAAAGGTCAATAACTATAAAACATAAATGAAGACTATCTGTGGCTGTTTTTTTTCTTTTATGAAAAAAATGCCAGAACTTGTGCCCTGATAAACATAACCCCACCTGCAATTTTTCACTTCTCAAGTTGCACAATCTTGAGTAATCTGATTTTAGAGATTTAATAAAGTTCTATCAAGAAAAAAGTTATTAAGACACATCTTACAATCAATTACGGTAGAAGGCTTACTTTAAGAATAAAAATGATTGAATATCTATATGTACACTCTACTTGTACTAAGAAGGATTTGACAAATTACTAAAAATTGATTTAGTAAGGGTATTTCTTTTGAAACAACAGAAAAAATCCATACCATCAGCATCGACTTCATTGATCATATCCTGCAGTTCTGCTTCTGTGGGATTCTGACCAAGGGACCTCATAACAGTGCCCAGCTCTTTAGTTGTAATTGTCCCATCACCGTCTTTGTCAAAGAGGGAGAAAGCCTCTTTGAATTCGGCAATTTGTTCTTCAGTTAGTTGGTCGGCCTGTTGAAAGAAAAAATTATTATTAAACTGAAACATGAATACTGTTGTAATAATAGCCTTATAGTAAAAAATTAAGTCATGAGTTTTACAAGTTTGCCAAAAGCATCAATTTTTAATTTAGGATTGAGTTAAGTAATGATTAATCAACATTTAAGCCTTAAATAACTTTTAAAAAAACCCAAATTGACAAATAATATATGTTTTAAGTTGTGTGAATGTGCTTGAGTGGGCAGGTTACTGAGGGTGACCCAATTTCCACTCGCAATCAATAATGATTCCCAGGATGATCAAATACTTTCCACATGAAGGGTAAAGCACCCACGGCCTGAACTGTGATTAAACTGAATAACTAATTAGTTTGTTCATAGATGTGTAATTTGTTACAAGACTCCTTTATCATCCTATTAACCTTTTATAAAAGGTGAATTTGGTTTCTTCTCACTACTAAGTAAATTTATTACATACTTCTTTATCAACAAGTTTTCCAGAAGGGTAGGAAGTAACTATACTCGTCTGAGCCGATAGACCCTTCTTCACAGTGTCCTTTTCTGATGCACTTTTTGTTGCTTTTACCATTGTTTTGTGTTATTTAACCAATTTAGTTTGTTTGAGTTGTGAATTTAGTATGTCCTTTTGTAGTCTAGGATACGTATTGTCAAGTTACATGTGTTTTTTAATTTTGCTAAAAAAATGTCACTATTCTATGTTTTGTGTGATGTGATGATGATCACACAAAACATAGAACATATAAAACAAGCATCACATTCCACACATCAAACATTTCTACATAGTCTAATTCTTCAACAATTTGGCTTTCCTTTCCCTAATTATCCCCATCTATATAATCTTGAAAGGATAATCAGGCTGAATCATTACCCACGTTTTTTTCCCCTTGTCGGCTCCTTTCTCGTCAAAGAAGCCGACTCCTCATATAAAAACGTCTTTCTATACCGACTCCCTTCCCCACCCCTTCAAAATCCAACGTATATAAACATAAACAGCAATATCTCACTAGCACACTCAACACGACACACATGAATGACACAATTACGCAGAAAACAAACACTTCGATTGAATATAAATTTTTTTTCATCATTGTATAAATTCATTTTTTCACACATCCTGCATTATTTGTTAAATTTAAACAATGTTTGTAAATCCCAGGCCCTGAAGATGATCTCAATAAACATTGAAATGTTGGCGCAATAAAGAAAATGTTTTTCTAAAACGGCACACCAGACCACATCGTACGATCTCCGAATAAGTATATATGTTATATAGACACGTTTCATATTTTGTTACTGTGATTATAAATAATAATGAAATGTTATAAACCAATGGTTCTACATCATCTTACAATTCAAAGGATTAAAAAAAAAAAAAAAATGTTCAAATACGTTTTTACTATAATGTAAACTTACGATATTCTAGTTTTAATACACATTTAAATAACTACTTTCGAAGAAAGGCTGTATCACAAAAAAAAAGAAGTTTATTTTCCCATTCCCAGCGGGTTCTACAAAACAAAATCCTCGTTAAATAAAATGTTTATTTACAATTTCAGAAATGGTTTGCTTAAAAGGTTTCTTCCCCCAATAAACACTCCGGGGCCTTTGAACAACGCCACAAATAATGGGGCAAGGTTATTATTAAAATGTTCACTTGTTTAAGGATTCTTTTGAGTCCACAAGTTTAATCTGGGGGGGGGTCATTGCCGATTTTTATCAAACAAAACCACATCATAGATATTTTCCTAATGAAAAAAATACAAATTGTCTTATTTTTTGTTTGCCTCATGTAGAAATGTGGCAAGTTATCTGAAATTCAATATTAAGCCTAGAAAAAATTAATTCGTATAACTAATCATAGTTCACACGATATGAAGTCCAGGAAAGGGATTTGATTAAACACCAATATAGCAAAGATAAAGAGGTGGACACTGAGTCATACAAATGATAATGCGGACAACTTAGCCTGGTAGAGAATTTCATACAAAATAAATATACAAATATATATTTTTGTAAATTTACATAATGTAACAGCAAAAATCATTTGACTATTTTCATATTTATTAATTTTGATTCTTAGACTATTATATTGAGTACTCTAGAGAAGTAATGTAACCAGCCTTCTTTCTGTATCATTTGTTGGGTTTATGTTAATTGATTGGTTTAAATGTAATTTTTTAGCGTGATTGCCCTACCCGGAATGTTTAATATGTGATTTCTGGAGAATAAAAGTAGGTTATTAGTGGGAATGGAGTGGGTTCCTGAGGAATATTCCAACTCTAGGGGAGTGAATGTGACTGGACTTAAGGTACATAAAATGTGGAAAATTGACATTTTTTTAAAATTATATTTTAAAAATGGCTCTACATTTTTATATTCACAAATTTTATTATTATTTTGTGTAAAATCTTCCTCATTGACTCGGATCAATTAGAAGGAGTTTCACAGAATTCGCCGGTGTTTTGGTGCATTTTCTTTCAAACTATTATAATTAAATAAGTTTTATTAAAACTCAAGAATTTCTGATCTTCTTTAATTTGGTTAATATTAAAATAAGAATGTTGTAATTAATATAATGTTAAAAATACATATAGTTTTAAATAAAGAAAATGTGTAAAATTAAAGCCAAAACAAATGTATGAAAAGAGAAAAATAACGCATTTTTTAAGCAAATGGTGTTTTTAAAATTTAATATACAAAATGCATTTATTTATTACTGTTAGGGATGGAATTTAATTAATTATAAATGATTTAATTTGCATTTAATTATAAATTATTTAATCATATATACCTATAGCTTTTGTTCATATACATAAAAACGTTTTTGCAATTATCATCATAACAACAAAAGTCAAGATCGAAATTTATTTAATGGTTTCTTAAAATCGATTTCTCGTATAAAACTTTAAAAAATTTTCAATTTCGACGTTATTCTTGCATTAATATTTTTTTCAATATACAATTAGTTCTTCACGCTCATCGACGGCAAAACGGTATTTTTTTTTTAACTTGATGTTCAAATCCGAAAAAAAGTAAAAAATAAAAAGGTTAATGAAAATTTTCCAAGTTCGACGTTATTCTTGCATTAATATTTTATTTTGATATACAATTAGAATCACGCTCACCGACTACTAAAACGGTCTTTTTTTTAAACTTGATGTTCAAATCCGAAAAAAGCAAAAAAAATGTTAATGACGCCCATCATCAAGACGTGGTGAACGTTTCCCGAAACTGCCTGTATTTCCTTCCTCTTGGCCTTCGATCGTTAATGCCAAAAAACACGTTTTTAATTATATGCTTCCTGGTTTGCATCTCTTGGCAAGTACCGGGTCAAAAATCAAGTTTCTTACGGCTTGATGGCACAAAACGTCAGATTGATAAAATCCAACATATTATCGACGGTACGAAGAGTTTAGAAGAATATTTAGCCCATTAGAAAACAGAATTTAATTCAAACAAAACGTTAGATTGATAAAATCCATCGACGGTACGAAAAGTTTAGAAGCATATTTAGAAAACATTATTTAATTCAATTCATTCAATGTTCAATTTTAATTCAACTAACTGGAGGATGCGTAAACGTTGACCAAATTGCTTTCAACCGTTCTTCGGACTGGCAGACAAAATCCGGCGTAATTCTACAATCGAGTAAGCAGGGCTTGAGGATTTCAATTTTTTAAAATATAAAATTATAGTTTTCAAGTTTACAAATCTCAAATAGTTCACAATGACACTTCCATACAGATGTTTTCCTGTGTCTAAACACATTTTGAATGGATTATCGGAATAATGCCCAACCCAATTGTTGATTTGTTTATTTAGACGATTGGAACTCACTATAATTTGCCTTATAATTTATCATGAAGGTAAGTTAGCGATGAGAAGAGAGTACAGCAACGAAATAAGATAAAGCAAGAAGTAACGTTCGAAGGAATAAAAGCGGAACGATAAAGAAAAAAAGAATAAAGGAATGAACAAAAGAATGGAAGAAGAAAGGGAAAAATGCAAGACCGGAAGGAAAGAAGAAAAAATGAAGGAAGTATGGAAGGTAAAACACTGAGAACGAATAAAGATACAAAACGAAAAAACAAAAGAGAAGAAGAAAGAAAAAATTAAAACCGGAAGGAAAGAAGGAGGGAGGGTAAAAGAATGGAAAGAAATTGTAAGAATTTACTTAATAAGGTTTTTAGTTGAGATAAAAAAGTCAATGGCAAGAGCGGGATCCGAACCCAAGATCTTCGGCTATATACGCCGCTGCTCTACCACTTGGAGCTATCGTGACCTCGATCCACTCGGACACCAACTTCCTATCTCAACCCCACCTTTTTGAGTTTTCCCTCCTTTTTGGGGATTGAGATATTAAGTTGGTGTCCGAGCGGATTGAGGTCACGACAGCTCAAGTGGTAGAGCAGCGGCGTATCTAGCCGAAGATCGTGGGTTCGGATCCCGCTCGTGCCATTGACTTTTTTTATCTCATCTAAAAACCTTAATTAATTGTAATATATTAATTGGTCGAGCGGACCACGAAATTGGTGAATGTAAGAATTAACTACCAAAAAGTTGAAGACAAGAAGGGAAAAAAGTAAAAACAAACAAAAAGATGGGAGTAAAGAAGAGAAAGCATGGACGAAAAAGAAGAATGAAGAAAGAAGTAAAAGCCGAGAGCCAAAAGACAAACGCAACAATGGGAAGGGAAAAACAAAAATTGAAGAAAGTAGAAATAGTAACAATAAGAAAATAAAGGAAACAAACAAGTTTTAAGGAAAATCGAAAAACAAAGGAGAATAGAAAAATGCAAGACCGGAAGGAGGGGGCAAGTGGAAACAGTAAAATTGGGTGAAAGAAATCAAGCCTTAGTGTTTGAATTTTTGAAGAAAAACGAATAATTCAACAAAGGAGGGAAGAAGAAAGAGGAAAATATGCAAGACCAGAAGGAAGGACGGAAGGAGGGTGTGAGTACAAGAAATAAAATAAAAAAGGTCGTCGTGTTTAACGGCAAAAAGGTTTAAGGTCAAGAAGGGAAATGACAAAAAAAAGTTTTTAAAAAGGGAATAAAGTACAGAAAGCACAGGCAAAAAAGGAAGGAAGTAAAAGCCGAGGGCCAAATGAAAAGGGGAATACAAAAATGTAAGTATAGTATATATAGTAAAAATGGAGGAAAGAAAGGAAAAAAAATTGTGGAGAAATAAATATAATAAAGGACATTTAAGGACCCTTTGGCTGTCTTTACATTATCAATTATGCTTTCTTATAAAATAAGACTTTTTTACTTGACCAACTAGTCCAAGAATGATCACAAATAGCCCAAATAGAACTCAATAGCTCTTAAGTGAACCAACAAAACTATCACAAATACACGCATTGATTGATTCTATTTTACTCTTCAGTATTAAGTTACAGGACTATTTTATCTCGTATTTATACAATTTTGGCCTGTTAGAAATGAAGATCGATTTATGAAAATCAAAGCGACAAGGGAAAAATGAGAAGGGAGAAAAGACAATAGAGAGAAAGAAAATAAGAAACAGTTATTCAGGATATCCTATTATTGTACTTGTAATGCTTATTACTCCAGGATGAAAATTGTTGAAGTAGCATGATTGTTTC